ACAAGGAAAAGAATGCAACCCTTTGGTAAACAGAAGACCGTGTAAAAGCTTTTTTTAATGAGCACTGCTATACGATAGACAGACGTGAGCAAAACTAAGAAGATGTATGCTCCACAAAACAACTGTTACCGTCTTAAGTGAAAAGTGACTTAACAAAACCATCGGGTACTAAATTTCAACATCACAGAATTTGGGAATTTGTAGCCAGCTACTTATGAGTATAATTATGTGCATTTGAAAAAGTAAGGCACAAGTGGGAACTGAGAAACTTTCACAGAACAACGGTCAGTTTTGACTGTGGCGAATCTGAACTATACAATACTAGAATTTAGAAAAACGTTAAAGGCAAAAATTAGCACTTGAACATAATCATAGGCATCGGTGCTTGTTGCGTAAACGGAATAACTGGTTGATATACGTTCCGTGACCCGCGAAGTCAAAAGCAGAGGCAGAGCGAAAGAAAGGTGATCATCAATGGACCACACCAAAATCCCTAAGCCAATTTCGAATGCCCATTGTGTACTTGAATTTTCATACTAGATTAGTGGTTGTAGACAAGGAAATGAAAGTGGACGTGTCTTAATCTAACTGACAAGTTCAAGTACCACGTTAGTGAATTCACAGCAACCTATGCTAAACAGCACACATTTCGTTGTCCTGAACTGTACTCTGGAAGCTCACCTCATCTGTCTCGCGCACTGTCAGATGAAACTGTGACCGGTGTAAAGAGATCTCGACAATTCTCGGCCATGGAAACCGAGCGATCCGCAGCTGACCCCAATACAAAATCAGGCCAATTTCACATACACCAAGAGCGAATGCAAACTCTGGATAGGCGTTAAAATCAAACGATAGGACATCTGTGAAAAAGAAACAGAAAAAGATTCACCTTGAGTTGATCACAAGATGTTGCCTAAATAAATCAAGACTATTTACGTTCAAATAGATCCGCTTGCTTGGCAGAGCAAGGCACTTGCTTAGCGTGCGCTTGTGTTTGTTTTCTTTACGCCAGCATAGAAAAGACCATGCAAGAAGTAGAATAAATGATACGAAGACGACTGACGGCGTTTAAAGGTAGAGTTTACTAAACATCTCCTTTTTCTAGGCTAGAATTCAAATTTGCTGCCATTTCCAAAGCGCAATCCTCGCGCTGATAGCAGATCAACCCTGATGCTCGCTTGTTACGGCTAGTTCGTCAACTTCACTTGTTCTTCGAAAGTTTCTTATATGTCGTAAATCTCTAGTAACCGTATATTATGTATATAGAATAACAATGAAATAAAGCTGCCGCCAGGCGATAAGTTACCTAAACTGGATTGTGCAGACCCTAATGAAGTGTTCAAATAAATTAAGCGGTTAAAATAATACTGCATTTACGATGGGTTAACCATTGCGTAATTCGTTCGAGTTCAAACTGTGTGCCAAACAAATTGGGATCCAATAATTTTTATAAGTAAAGGTCCAGGGTTTGCTCTAGAGCATGATAATATCAGTTTTCCCAGGCCAAACCAGGTGATGTAGACAGCTTAGTGGACAGCTTTGGTTACCTGGTTGTGTCTTCTTCCTCCAACGGAATAATGTGAGGACAACGTGGAGTAAACCGCAGAGAGAGAGAGAAGTCCCGACTAGCTTTATGGAAGCTTCGAGTATCAGCTATTTCGACATTCTGTCCCTGGATCAGTTAAAGTCCGGAAGCACGTCGGAGCGATTCGGTTAGTTTACTTTAGTGATGTAGCCATTACATACTCAGGATGTTTGAAGTTCAGTGTTCTTCAAAATACGATGCCCAATGAATATTTGCAAGGTGACGGAATTAGTATTGCCTAGGTTGGGTGCAGTGAACGGAAGCAGTAATGCCGTGTTCACTGAGAAGGATGTTGACTGAAGAAGCTCAGAACGGGCGGAAAAACTGATAGTACTGGTTTATGGAATGGACTAAGCAAATTGTGTTGGAAATTCTGGTTGAACCCCACAAGAACCACTATTCAGATGGGAAGACACTAGGGAACAGGGCTTGATGAAGAACGTATGTTTATGTTTTCACTGTTCATTCAATCTCAGTATGCTCGGGTTTATACTGCATTCCATCCATCTCTCGAACGTGCTTGTAACAAAAGGAACAAAAATCAGAGCAATACATTCCAGGGGAATATTCGTCTGGACCGAGGTGAATTCATACGAAGCCATCTCGAGCCTGGAAATGTATATCGCACTTGCCAACCATATGCCTAACATGATTCTATGAGGTTTTTCTCCAAGTGTACCAATCACATGTTTGCAAATGAGCAACTCATCCTTTTTGTGGAATTCAATGGTGAGAGGATAGATCCGTTTAGAAGACCCCACGCCCCATGATTTCACAAAAGTGTCGACATGTGCCTTCTCCCACAGTCTGAACTTCCCGTAATAACCGTACCCGAACTTGCAAGGTCAATGTCAATGTCAAGGACAAAAAGGCAATCAACGATGGTGACCCATGGGATTTCCAATGACTTTACCCTCAGACTGATCGCAACTCAAACAATTCAAAATGAATTCTAGGGGACTGAAAAACGGATGAACCTTTGACCTAGAGTTTTGGAAAAAGGGAATCAGAAGAAAAAAGAAAGAAATTGAACAAGAGAACGCGAAAAAACCAGGTTAACATAGAATATTCAACATTGCAGAGAATTGGCAAAAGTTTGCAATCGGTAAACATCATTTAAAAGTATGTGCATAACAGGGGAATTCAAACTCGTTCCACGCCAATAGGGACACGGTAGATTCAAGCTAACACCTCTCTCTCACACACACACACATACACACAAACACAGAGATAGAGAGATCAAACACATCTTGTTATGCCAGTAGAAAGCAAAATAGACTATAAAATATTGCTCGGATTCCGGTTTCTGCTTTGAGTTAATGGTGTTTGGAAAGCGGTTCGAGGCAGACGGGTGAGACGTGGATCAACGTGTGCACACGAACAACTGATTCAGGTAGTTCGATAGTTCCACAACTAGTGTGAACAATACGAGAGAGGATAAGACGTATCAATCGGTCCGGTGAGATAAAGGTTGCATTAACTGGAGGTGATTTATTCAGTCCGATGGTAGGCACAGTGAGATGGTCTTGTTCAACAGTAATTCAATGAAGGGTTGCAACGAGCACATTAGGTCAGTGGGTGGCACGGGGGCAAACGATTGCGTTTCATCTCAGAAAGACAATAGGTACGTTTATTGATAAAAAGGCGTTACACTTGTGGCGGAAAACATCTACAATCCGTAGGGGAATCAGAACGACACTTACAAGATGTAATTACAATTCCACCTGAACGAACAGCTGTAGCAAGCGAGCTCAAAACATCCCTTATTTCTGATGAGTATACGAAAAGCCGCGGCGTGACACATAATGACCTTCATCGTCAATACAACTTAAGACCTAAATCAACCATATAGCTTTAGGTTATTGGGAGTGATAATCTGTTTCCATCCCATCCCAAACATGCCGTATCACCACTATAAGGGTTATCCTAACAATTTGCTCCCCTTTTAAGCGCTTAACAGAGGTGTGCGTGAACGAATGATCTTATTTCTGGTTATCGGTATTTTCCAGACTTAGTTTATCATGAAGAGCGATATGCGAATGTTAGTACTAGGATTAAAGTCAAACAAAGTTTCCGTACTGCGCTGGAAGACTGCGAACCTGCATAAACTTCTCTTTCTGGGCTGTGTGTAACAGTGCAGTATGCGTTTTACATCCTCAAGGTGTGAAACACTGTTAGAGGATCAGTTGGATAACACTTCTAAATCTGATTATCCCAGTAACTCTGTTTTGCAAATACGCCTGGTTCGCCGGTATGATAGATACACCACATTGGGGGAAGATACTCGAAGTGAGATGCCCTCATGGATGAGGAATCGTGTAGCACATGGTAATCTGAGCTTTGCCGCGCAATATTTGTGTATTCGTGAAATTTTGAGTGTGCGCTGAAGATGTTCCATAATTCTTACTGTATGCCAAAGGAGATAAACCTGATGCGTAGGGGATCAATATCAGATGATCGACATTTGAGTAACAGTTTGCACAACGGTCCATTGATGCACAGAAAGCTGTGACACGTTATGATCATAGGCTGTCTGTTTACTTCCAATAAATGTCGATGGTTTCGTAGTGGTCTTTCAGAAATCAAAATAATAAAACCGAAAAACTACTTTTCGAGCCTGGAGCCTCGTTTTTTCCAGCGTCTCCGGATAGTCAGATTGCTGCAGAGGCTTGTTTAAGTAAAACTAGACAACAATTAACCTAGACGAGGATGTTTGTGCACCAATCTCGACGGCAGTGGCGCATCGGAAGTCATTTGACTCGATAACCTCTGGATGGCTAAATTTCTCATCCAAAGACAGTTATTAAAGACAGACAAGACAGGAAACAATCACTAATCGTTCTTTGACCTTCCAGTTCAATTTGTGGAACAGGTATCAGAAACTTCAAATTATGGCTGCATCCCTAAGAGTGGCTATTCTGCACGGATCTAGTCTTTCTCACATTCCATATTTCAACATGCAATGTAATGCAATCTCGAACTTGCTCTCATTTGTTGAACAGATGGGTTATGGGAAGATGGAAGCCAAAACCCGCGTAGAAAAATGTAGAAATTTGAACTGGAGTAACCCATCACATCCAAATTAGCCCCAGGAGAATAATTTCTAGATGACCGAGGCTATCGAGTTTTGTTGTGAATGTTGTAATACTAATAACACAGCGCTGTCGGTAGAGAATTATATTGTAAAACGTGTCTTGAGAAAGGTTACCCACGGTAACCGAAACGTCGGCGAATATAATTCTCTACCGATATCGCTGTGTTATTACCATTATAACATTCACAATAAAACAACACATGGCGCTTCGATTTTTCGATACTCTCCTAACACCATTTGGTCCTATAGAGTTTTTCTCTGTTATTCAATTTATTTGTACGGACAATATCAGTCCCGTGTGGATGAGCTGGGAGGTTACTCTGTATCCGTGGATCTGGATGGGCTCTGAATGAGGATGAAAACGATACGAAAAAAGACGGTTAACAAAATGCCACGTCGATCAAGGTGAAACATGAATGAGTAAAATATCAAAATCTGTATCGGAATTCACAAATCAGAAGCACTAAAGCTAGCAGAGCGAATAAGCACAGAGCAGACAGAGTAACTTACCCGGAATGTGAGAGACAAATGCTCTGTTGTGCTGCCATGTACCTGACTGACCCGGTCGAGCGGAAGCAAGGTCACGAAGGCTTTGTCCGGCCAGTGAACGTCGTAGATTTGTCCAAGATTGATACAAACCTTGTAGCGCACCGCCACCAGGAACTGATTGAAGTTCTATGACGACGCGCTAAAACGAAGTTGATGATCAAAAAGGAAGAGGTCTGTTAGAAGTAACTAAAATAACTCTGATTATTTTCTATACTTGTGAATTATCTGTTTCACTGTTTTATTAAAATGAGGGTTGGTTGTAAACAATCGATCAATTATTATTTTACCTTGAAGCTAACTGAATATTAAGTTGCAGCGCTAAAAAACAATGAGATACTTCCAAAGTTTGCTCAGCGTGAAATAAAAAAGTCATCAACCAAAAATAGAACCAGTG